CCCCCCCCCCCCCCTGCTGCTACTTGGGGTAGGGGTAGGGGAAGGCGCCGGGCTCAGAGGGCGACTCCACGGGGCCGTGGCCGTGGGTGGGTGCAGCGCTGCCGTCCTGTGGGGCAGTTGGGAAGAGGCTGGGACCCCCCTGCAGCACTGCAGAGCCTCCCCCCCCCCCTTTGCCCCCAGCACTCACCTCCAGTGGCACCGCGGGCGGCACGGGGGGGTACGGTGGGAGGAAGGCTCCAGGCAGGGCAGCAGCGGGCACGTACTGGGGGGGGAGGAGGTATCAGGGGGGCTGGGGGAGGGGGCAGTGGGGGGGGTCGCAGCCGGGGGGGTCCTTACCGTGCCAGCGCTGCCCAGGGAGAGGTGGCCGAGCTGCTGGGCCAGGGGGGCCACCACTGAGGGCTGGAGGGGGACGGCATGGTCCACGGCGGGGGCCAGCACTGTGCCCTGCATGGTTCCATCAGCAAGGGGGGGGGGACAGGAGGGTGGGGGGAGCGGGGGACTCGGGGGGTTGGGAACAGCAGGGGGATGTGGGACTGGGATGTTCGGGCCGGGGATGTGGGGTGTATAGAAATGGGTGGGGGCTCTGACCACGTGGCCTCCTGCTGCGCTCACCGTGGGCTGCACGAGGTAGGACTGGTGCATCCAGGTGGGGCTGTGGACCTGCAGGGCAACCAACAGGCAGGGGGCTGCAGCCAACCCGAGGCAGGGACCCCCCTCCTGCAGGGAACCCCCAGCCCGTGCTCCCATGTACCTGGTAGGAGGAGACAGGTGAGGGCAGGTAGGGAGCCAGGGCGGTGGGTGCAATCATCCTGTTGGGGGCCAGGCCATAAGGTGCGGGGTAGAACCTGTGGGGTGGAGGTGGTTATGGGGTGGAGGCTGCAGCCATCTCCCCTCCCCTCCCCTCCCACCAGAACCATGGGGGCTGTGGGACGCTCACCCGTTCTGCAGCGCTGTGGCAGGGTCGTAGGCCAAGGTCACGGTGCCCTAGGAAGGGACAGAGGGCTCAGAGCCGCCCCACAGCGCTGCCCCCCAAGAAGCAGCCCCTCGCTGTGCCCCATCCCGCCCTCACACCCCATTTACCGCGTCGCTGTCCCGAGCCCAGGCTCTCCCATTGGGCACAAACTTGCCCTGGCTCTGCCGTTTCTTCTGCCCTCCATCTGCAAACTTGCAGAGCAGGGGGTCCGGGGGGGCTGCAGGGAGGGCTGTCAGTATCACCAGCCAGCGCCCAGCCCCCCGTCCCCGCACCTCAAGCCCACCTGGCACCCCTGGGGGGGTCTTGATGTATTTCCCGTTAAAGTGGGTGATGACAGCCTCGCACTTCTCCGTGGACTCCATCCTGGTGGGTGGGAGAATGGCTGGAGGGGCCCTTCTGGGTGCCCCCAGGGCCTCTGCAGCCCCTCGCTGTTCGCCCGCCCCCAGACCCACGCAGCCCCGTACCGCGCGAAGCCCACGCCACGGCTGGCCCCATGGGGGTCCCGCAGGATGCGGGTGGACACAACCTGCCCAAAGGGCTTCAGCAGCGCCTCCAGCTCCTGCTCGTCCACCCCCAGCGGCAGGTTGGAGATGTAGAGGTTGGTGGGGTCCTGCTCCTGTTGCTGTAGGGAGGGATCAGGGGGCAGCGGGGACGCCCGCTGGGGTGGGTCTGGATGTTGGGGTGCCCCCCATCGGGCCTTACCTTGGCCATCTGTGCCTGCACCCCGCTGGCCTTGAGAGCCGTCACTGCCTTCTGCGCTGCCGTGGGGCTGTCGAAGTCCACGAAGCCATAGCCTTGGGGGGGAGGGACAGAGTGAGAGAGACCCCCAAGCCTCCAATCCCACCCCTACTACTCAGACCCCCAAACCTCAACACCCCCACCTCCTCCTTAGACAGTAAGTGCAGCAAAAAGGCCCCAAAATGCAAACCATCCTTCCTTGTCTTAGTCCCTAAATACAGTGGAAGCAACCCCACAGCTCTCTCTAATCCCCTCCCCTTAGGCCATAAAACCCAGCACTCCATTTTCCCCTTAGTCTCTATGCACAGCAAATGGGACACAAAACCCTGACGCTCTTCTTTTCCCCTTAGACCCTAAACGTAGTGAGAGGGACCCCGAAACTCTGATCCCCTCCTCCCCCAGACCCTAAATACAGCGACAGGGACCTCAAACCCCTGATACCTCCGAGCTCCCTTGCCTTCAGCACAGTTAAAATGACCCCAACTCGCTGATTTCCACCCCCCACGCCCCACTTCCATCAGACCCCAAAACCCGGACCCCTCCCGCTTTCCTCTAAACACGGTAAAAAGGACCCCCAAACCACTACCCTCTTTCCCCCTTTGTACCCTGAATACAGCGAAATGGACCCCCAGGCCCCAGTCCCACCCCACCTTTGCACTTGTTGGTCGTCTTGTCCAGGATGGCTTTGGTGGAGACGATCTTCCCATAACTGCACAAGAAATCAAGTGTGTGTGTGGGGGGGATTCTAAACTGCCTCCCGCCCCCTTATCGAAGCCCCCCAAGGCCCCACTCACGGCTGACACAGCTTCACCAGGTCCTGGTCGGTGGTCCCGGGGTGCAGCCCCCGGATGTACAGATTGGTTTTGCTCAGCTGTTCGCCCGCCCCCCCGGAAGACGGGCTGGGGCTGGGGGGGCCCATGGGCTGCGACGGCGGCACATAGGGCTGCTGGGGGCGGCGGAGGGGAGGACGGTCGGTGTCACCGAGGCCCAGCCCCGGTCGGGGCCGCCTCCCACTCCGGCCGCGACCCACCGGGCCCCGCCGCCCGCCCGGAGAGAGGCCCGAAGGGGCGGGCGGTGGGGCCTGGCGCGGCGGGCCCGGAGAGAAGGGCGACCTAGGCCTCATCTCCCCCCGCCCCGCTTACCTTCTTTCCGCCCTTACTGCAGGCGAAGGCGGCCAGGCCCGGGCGCGGCGGCGGCACCGAGAGCAGCATCCCGGAGCGCGCGGCGGGGCGGGCGGCTCCGCCTGACGTGACGCGGGATCCGGGGCGGGCCCCGGCAGGCGGCTGCGGCCTAGCAGTAAAGAGCTCGGGGAGCGGTCCGCTCCGCGCCTTAAGGGGATTTCTGGGAACACAACCCCGCGCTCGGGGAGTCCTGTAACCGGGACCTGTAACGGCCGCGGCCTATAAGCAGGGCGCGGTCCCTTTAAGACCGCAAAGCTCCGCCCCCGCCGCCATTACCGCCACAGCGGAGGCGGTCGCACCGTATCCATGGGCGCAGCCATTTTGGAGCTGTCGGTCACGTGTCCCTCCGCCATCTTGGCACCTCCCACCCCCACCGCGTGACTCTGGCTGAAGGCGGGCTGGGGGCCGCCATCTTGGCGCCTCGCGCGGTTCTCCTTCGGGCCCAGAAGAATGGAGCGGGTCTGGGGGCAGCGGGGCCTCCGTGGGGCGGAGGGCGCCAGGAGGAGTCTGTGGGGCAGGAGAGGGTCCTCAGCAGGGGTCATAGGGCAGGGTGACGGGTCCCAGGAACCCTTGGGGTCTCCTGTGGGGCTGAGGTAGGATGTGCGGCCTGACCCATGCCCCACAGAGGGCCCCTGCGGGCCGTGGAACCGCAGCGTGCCGTCCGTCCCCCCCCACGGCCTGGGGGCAGGGCTGCGTGTCAGGGCGGCCGTCCCCATCCAGGCCCTTTGTGCAGGGATTGTTCTGGCTCTTTCGGGGCGGCCGCGGGGCTGTGCTGAGCCAGGCCCTGGGCAGCGACCCGCTGACTCACGCCGTGTGTGGGGCTGCTGAGCTGGCAGGGACGTGGGGCCCGGCCCCCCCCCCCCACTGCAGCAGGGCTGGGGGCAGCTCCAATTTCACGGCCCCTCCTGTCCTCTCCTGCTGCCTCCAGAACTGGGCATCCCTGGCACTGCAGTGTGAGCAGAGCTGGCCTCATCTGCTGCCCCCCACCCTCCCTTTCATCTCTGCATTCCCTCCTTTCATCTCTGCCTTTCATCTCCCACCTGAGCACCTCGTGCTGGTTGTCGTGGCAACACCCCAAAGTGCCCCTGCTTGTTGCCATGGCACCCGTGGCATCCTGGGGTGCCCGAGCCCAATTTCAGGCCCCTGCAACTCCTGCCACGGCTGTGCCCTGCTGGCAGACCCCTCGTGTGTTTTTGGGATGCCCTGGGTGCAGGCACCCTCCCCAAATCAAGGGGGGTTGGCAGGACCAGGGGCTGGGAGGCGCCCCTGCCACGGGCATCCTCTGTGCTTGCCTTGGTCCTGCAGCTGCACCATGGCCATAGGGGAGGTAAGACCTCGCGAGCTGCGTGACCCCAGCCCCCCCACCCCCAAGCCCTGGCTGTGAGGCCCTGGGGTCCGTCCCTACCAGGGGATTGAGGCTCATGGCCCTCGTAGCCTGTGGTCCTGGCCCCGAGCCCTGCTGGGGGGCTCCCTGTGTGCCCCTAGAGGGGAACTCCGTTCCTGCGCTGCTCCAGTTGCCGTGGTGACCCCATTGCCAAGGTGCCCTGTTGCCAAGACACCCTTTGTCACCATGGTTGCTGAGGCATCCAGTTACCATGGCAGCCCCCATCTGCCATCACTGACACCCCATCATTTCGGTGTCAAATTGCTGAAGGGTCTCATCAGCATGACACCCCATGGCACCCCGTCGTCATGACTTCCCCTTCGTGCCCACAGGAGCTGCACAGCGGGCGCTTCTGGCAGGAGGTGTTGGCTGAGGCTGTGGCAACGCTCATCTTTACTGGGGTGGTCCTGGGAGCCTCAGCTGCCCCCAGCCCCCTGGTGCCAGCCCTGGCCGGGGGGCTGGCTGCTGCGACACTGAGCTGCGCCCTCGGAGCGCCCCAGGCCAACCCAGCGCTCACCCTGGCGCTGCTCTGCACCCACAAACTGGGTGCCCTGCGTGGGGCTGCAGTGCTGCTGGCACAGTGTGCCGGGGCTGTGCTGGCTGCCACGGCTGCACGCCTGGCGCTGCCAGATGACAGCGCAATGGTCAGCAGGGTGAGCCTCCCCGTCCCGGTGCCCTTCCCGGTGCCGGTGGGTGCTGAGGCTCTGCTGTGCCCGCAGGTGAGTGCAGCAGGGACAGCGGGGCAGGCGTTGTGCTGGGAGATCTTTGCCACCTTCCAGCTGGCGCTCACCGCCTTTGCCTCCACTGACCACGCGGCTGCCCCCACCGGGCTGGCCCTGGGCTGTGCCATCGTTGCTGGAGCTCTGGCTGCGGTAAGGACTCCCCAGTGCCCCCCGCCTGTGGCCCCCTGGCCCAGCCAGTCCTGACCTGCTCCCCCAGGGGCCGTTCTCGGGGGGCAGCATGAACCCGGCCCGCTCACTGGGGCCTGCCGTCGTCACCGGCATCTGGGACAACCACTGGGTGAGTCACAGAACCACTGGGTTCCCCCAGAAAACCCACTGTGGGGATGGGTGACCCTCCCGTCCCATCCTCCCCCAGGACAGCAGTCCCTGCCCCCCCCTTCAGTCACTCCCCCTGAGTCACCCTCTCGGCATCCCCAGATGGGCTCCTCCCGGTTCCCCATCACAGCACAGGTCCCCCCACCCCCATCCTTTGGCCCTCCTGCTCCATCCCAAACATGGTTCCCTCCTCACCCCTGGAGCATCTCCCCCTGGTCAGTCCCCATCCCTAGTGTGGGCCCCGCATCCCCTGGCAGCCCCTGACCCCCATGCCACCCTGATTATCCCTGCTCCTACTGCTCCCACTGACCTCCCCCAGGTGTACTGGCTGGGACCGGTGCTGGGTGCCGTGCTGGCTGGGCTCTGCTACGAGTTCATCTTCGGCCCTGGTGCCTCCCGGGAGAAGCTGTGTGCCTGCCTCACCTGCCGGGACGTGGCACTGGTGGAGACCACCAGCCCTTCCCCCTCCTCACCTTCCACTGCCCCCCTCAGTGCTGCTCGTACCCCCCCAGCCTCCCAGGGCCAGGGCACGGCCTGATGGGAGAACCAGGGGGCTCTGCACTCTTGCCGCCTTCTCCCCCCCCTCAAAGCATCCTCTTCCCCGTGGGGATTAAAGGCGGCTTTGGACCAGAGATGAGCACAGAGTGGTGCTGTGGGACGGGGGGGGGGGTCTGGGTGCACGGGGTCACTGCAGGGCCTCTCCTTGCACTCCCCCCACGCCGTACCCCCCGTTGGCCCCGTGGTGGGGGCTGGGGGGCTGCTCCTGCCTTGTGTGGGCGCTGAGCACAGCAAAGCCTTTTGTCGGAGCCTCTGCAGCCCCGGCAGATTCCTGCGGGCGCCAATGGCCGCGCTCGGCCCTAATCCCCCCCAGCCGGGGGCTTAGTGCCTGCTAAGCCAGCCTGAATGCACCAGAGCCAGGCGGGGGGGTGGGAGGGAGCAGTGGCAGCCCCCGGGGGGGCACCTGCACCCCTGTGATGTGGAGCTGGGCATGGGGCACCTGCAGCCCCCAGGATGTGTGGGGTTGGGGCAGGCTGGCTCCCAGTGCTGCCCTCCCATAGCGCCCCCCCAGATTCTGGCTGGGGGGCGGGGGGGTGTCACAGTGTTGCCCACAGCCCCAAGTATGTTGTTGACCCCAGGCCCTATAGAGGGTGCCTATGGGTCAGAGCCACCCCCCAGCTGGCATCCCCAAGGGTGGGGGACGCAGCTCTGGGGGGTCCCCACTCTGTCGGGGCAGTGGAACCACACCTGAGGGGGGCACCGGGGTCCCGCACAGCACCTCGCCCACCCCATATCCCGGGCAGCGAAGCAGTTAAGGGGGGGTGGCGGTGGTGGGGTCCCACCCCCGGGGCCGGCTGGGGGGGGGCTTATAAAGGTGGGTGCGGGCGGCCCCCGGGAGGGGAGCGGGGCCGCAGCGGGGCCGGGCCATGCGGGAGCTGCGCTCGTCCTCCTTCTGGAGGGCCATCCTGGCCGAGTTCCTGGGCAGCCTCCTCTACACCCTGCTGGGGCTGGGGGCTTCGCTGCGCTGGGCCCCGGGCCCCCACGGGGTCCTGGGGTCCGCCTTGGCCTTCGGGCTGGCCCAAGCCACCCTGGTGCAGGCGCTGGGGCACGTCAGCGGCGGGCACATCAACCCGGCCGTCACGCTGGCCTTCCTGCTGGCCTCGCAGCTCTCCCTGCCCCGCGCCCTGGGCTACCTGCTGGCTCAGCTGCTGGGTGCCCTGGCGGGGGCCGGCGTCCTCTACGGGGTGACACCGGCCGCCGTGCGCGGCACGCTGGGCCTCAGTGCGGTGAGCGGGGCGGGGGGGTGGGGGCTCCGGGGGCAGAATGGGGCGCTTGGAGGAGGGGGAGGAGAGAACAGGGGGCTGCGGTGGGGGGAAGCGGGTGGGCTGGGGGCGTCTGGGACTCGCGGGGGTGGCTGAAGGGAAATAGGGGCTTGGGAGAGGGGAGAAGGCGTGACGGGGTTGATGGGGAATTGGGCAGCCGAGGTCTGGGAGGCTGGGAGCCGGCGCTGAGCCCCTCTCCCCCACAGCTGCACCCCAGCGTGGGCCCGGGCCAGGGCACAGTGGTGGAGCTGCTGCTGACGGCTCAGTTCATCCTCTGCGTCTTCGCCAGCTTCGACGACCGCCACGACGGGCGCCCTGGCTCCGCAGCGCTGCCCGTTGGCTTCTCCCTCACCCTTGGCCACCTCTTCGGGGTAAGGGGGGGTGGCAGCTCCGCGGGACGGGACGGGGGGCGCCCGGCACCCACCGCCCCCTCCTTCCCCGCAGATCCCGTACACTGGTGCTGGCATGAACCCTGCACGCTCCTTTGCCCCCGCCGTCATCACCCGCAACTTCGCCAACCACTGGGTAAGTGGGGAGGGCGCTGTGGCCCGGCCCGGTCCGTTCCAGCCCATCTCCGTCCTGCCCCAGTCCACCCCGCTCTGCCTCAACCCGCTGCCATCCCATCCCAGTCCCATCCCAGTGCACCTCAGCTCAACCCGATCCGTCCCACTGTCGTCCCAGTGCATCCCAGTCCGACCCCGGTCCTTTTCAGCCTAACCCAACCCCCCCCCCCGTCCCAGCCCACCCCGGTCCCATTCCTCTCCATCCCATCCCATCCACAACCCCGCCGGCTGCAGCAGCCCCGAGGGTTCCCCACCGCGGGGGGTCGCATCCCTTATCGCCCCACTCCTCGGGCTCAGGGATGGCCGCACGGGGGGGTGGCGGCCGCCCCTCTCTCGGGTCGGGGGGGGTCGGATGTGGGACCCCTTGGCCGCCCCCTCCCACGCCGCCCCCCGCAGGTGTTCTGGGCGGGTCCGCTGCTGGGCGCGGCGCTGGCGGCTCTGCTGTACGAGCTGGCGCTGTGTCCGCGGGCGCGCAGCATGGCGGAGCGCCTGGCCGTGCTGCGGGGGGAGCCGCCCGCCGCCGCGCCGCCCCCCGAACCGCCGGCGGAACCGCTGGAGCTGAAGACGCAGGGGCTGTAGGGCCGCCCCCCAGTCCCAGCCCCAAACCCGGGGCCGCCTTTGCTGTGTCGGGGCCGCCGATGCGGTGCGTGTGGTGCGTGCGTGTGTGTGCGGGGCGGCGGGAGCGCGGCGGCCAACGGCACCCGACGGCCGGCCCCGCCCCGCCGCGGCGGGAGCTCCGTGTTCGGTGAATTAAACCTACGCTTTATTTTGGTAACC